GTTGAAAAGTGCATGACGCCCTCGGCTTCGCCTCGTGCGTCAACTTTAAGCAGTTGCAGAACTTCGACCTTCGGCTCTTGTACCGTAATGTACTGTTTTCGGTCTTCAGATAACAGATAAAAGTTCYATGGAAAACTTCTGTSAAACGCCMAAAATTGGTGAATCTGAAAGTYATGGTGATTTTAGAAGCGGAAATGGATGAAACCTCACTTGGCCTAAGATAATGGCCAACTAAAAAAAAACGAAAAATKTAAGCATATTTTATTATTTACCTAGGGACTTTATTATTATTATTATTGACCTAGGAAGGGCAATATAACATCTGACTAGGGAAATGGAATAAATAATGGTGATTTCCCAGGATAGTAGTAAAATTATTATTATTATTATTACATCTTCTTCTTCTTAGCGTGCCTTATCCATCGCGGACGTTGGCTATCAACATGGCAATTTTAATTTTATTGACGGCATTTCTAAATAGCTGTATAGATGTAAGTCCAAACCATTGGCGTAGATTTTGCAGCCATGAGTGTCTTCTCCTTCCTGGTCTTCTTTTACTGTTGATCCTTCCTTGAGCTATTAACTGGAGTAGACGATATTTTTGATGTCTCATTATATGTCCGAGGTATTCCAGTTTCCTCTTTTTAACTGTGAGTGTAATTTCTCTCTCTTTCCCAATTCGCTGCAGCACCTCTTTATCAGCTATGTGGTCAGTCCACGAGATTCTGAGGATACGGCGGTATATCCACATTTCAAAGGCGTTTATTTTTTTCATTATTGCTTCCGTCCTTATCCATGCTTCTGCTCCGTAGAGCAGAATTGGGAACACGTAGCACTTTGCCAAGCTTATTTTTAGAGGCAGRGATAGATCCTTGCTTGTGAATACACCCTTCATGTGGTCGAATGAAGCTCGAGCTCTTTCAATCCTTGATCGGATTCCGGTGGCCTGGTCCCATCTTGCATTGATCAGCGTACCAATGTACTTGTATGACTCCACACCCTCGATCGTCTGGTTGTTTAGTGTAATGCGCTCATTGTGTGTCTGATCTTTGCTCACCACCATCCACTTTGTTTTTGATTTATTTAGGCTAAGACCGTGGTCTGCGCTCACTTTCTGTATTCTTTCCATGACGCGCTGCAATGTCGTCTATGTTGTTGGCTAGTATGACTGTATTATCAGCATATCGCACATTGTTAATTCACTCTCCGTTTATCTGTATACCCTCTGTTGCCTCCTCTAACGCTATTCCAAATACGTTTTCCGAGTATATATTGAAGAGGAGCGGAGACAGGATGCAGCCCTGCCTCACTCCTTTTTTTATTCCTATGTTGTCCGAATACCGGTTGTTCAGCTTTATCTTAGCGATTTGTCCCCAATCCATGTTTGCGATTATGCGGATATCTTTATTATCGATGCCGGTATTTTCGATGATCTGTAGTAATAGCTCATGGTCTACGCTGTCAAACGTTTTGGCAAAGTCGATAAAGCAAACATATCCTTTTTTGTTGACATCTCTACATCGTTGGATAAGAACTTGTAGACTAAAGATAACTTCTCTTGTCCCAAGGGCATTCCGAAATCCAAATTGGGATTCACTGATGTTTTCTTCATATTTATTGTATATTCTGTTGTGGATTATTTTCGTGAAGACTTTTGTAATATGATTGATGAGGCTGATGAGTCGGTGTTGATCACAGGTTTTTGCG